ACTCCTGGATCAGTAACCCCAGAGGTTAGATTTGTTATGGGAACATGGAAGACTTAGTTACTCGATAGATTTAACGTGCGTCAGTCACCATTTACTACACGGAGTCGTGCACGGCCGGCGGGGATCGAACCCACGACCTCTTGGACATGAGCGCAGTGTCCTATCAAACAGGCTATCCCGACCCTACTGCTATCAATTAGTATAATAAATAATTAGATCTATTGGTGTCAAACAAATTGCATGAGTTCACAACCATAATTTAATATTTTCGCTCACCAAACAGGCGGATACATTAAATACTATTTCTGTTTGCATCTTATTGTGCTTGAAGCTGATCATTAAGTTCTAAATCATTTAACAGATCTCTAGAACTGTAATTTATAACAGTATATTAATGTTATCTGCACAAAAAGGATAATTGTAAAACGGTAAATAGGATTAGACCACCTTTCTAAGTAACTTTATCTTTTAAAATAAAGTAACTTAGAAAGCATAGAATTACATTTTCAAAATAAAATTTAAAAAAAAAAAAAAATTTCTTTATTTTTAACTCTTGAATTAAAAGCGTAATAATAGCAGTACAGAAAAAAAAACTTTAAATTAGGGATACAAAGATATTTATAGAGAAGCAATACCTTTACTTCTTTTATTACTTTTTATGCTGATAACAGCCAAAACAATGTGGACTCAATTTTGTTTGGCTGTTATATGTGTCACTAACCGTAAGTCTTCTGTGATTGGCTATGTGTTATCATTTCGCTCTCCTCTTATATTATATTCAGTAGAGCGCCGATTATCCGAACGTCCAATTATCCGAACTGTGTCTGAATTTCTTTATTTTTTTTAAAAGTTTAGAATACTTTTTTTAACTTATCAAAAATTTTTCTAAATTTCTGAACCTTCCGGATGAAAAGATGCCCGGTTATGCAGCAGAAGAAATCGAAGACTGGTGTCGAGTAACTGATAACGTCCCAGGATTTCAAATTTTAACTGATGATGACTCTGTTGCTGAAATTTTGAGTGAAAATCGGAACTCCACAGACGAAGACAGACAGAAGTAGGCGAACAAGTTCAAGATAGTGGACCTTCTCATATAGAAGCATGCAATTCATTAGATATTGCAATGAATTGGCTAGAACGTCAAAATGGTGTTAATCCCGTTCACTTGATTTATTTTAAAATAATAAGGGATATATGGCTGCTCAAAAAAGAGCAACTTCTTTGAAACAAAAGTCTTTGCTGGATTTCTTTTGCAATGGAAATAAAGAAAAAATGTGCTAAAATCAGTAATTGAAAAAAAAATTACAGAAAGCTGAAATATGATTAAAAAATTCAAAATGAAAAAAAGTAAAAAAGAAAAAAATTAATAAAAAATATTCAAAAATTGAACAAAAAAACTTTTAAAAAGAGCTATTTTAGATAGTACTACCAGTTCTAAACCCGGAAAAAGTGGGAAGGGAAGTTGCTGCATAAATAATAATCATTTAAACTACATTTTAAACAACTTTCCAATTATCTGAACTTTTCATTATCCGAACCAAGTTCGGTCCCGAGCAGTTCGGATAATCAGCGCTCTACTGTTCATTTATCATATATCTACTGTTCATTTCAGCGCTCTACTGTTACTTCATTTTATCCACAATTAGCCCGGTGACAAAGTGATTCTTTCCCATGATTCTTCTGCCACTAAAGATATTTTACATCAGTACTATGGTCGATGTAAGCCGTCAGCAGAATTTTGACTGACAACCAGCTATCTCTGGTATTCTAATCCAGTGTTCCCCAACTCCCGATCCGTGGATCAAATGGTACCGGGCCGCCCATTTCATTGAAACTGAGTTTAAATTCCTAGGTTTATACCCCAAATTCTATAAAATAATATAAATAAAAATATCTGTGTTCCATTAAAATTTTAATTATTTAAAAAAAAAGGGGGCCCCCGAAGGTAGTGACATAAATTTTTTAATGTTTGAAATGATGAAACCGTCCCCAGATGAAACTGTCTCATTGCAAAGAAACAAGCTCAGGGTTCTCATTGATTTAACGTTCTAGTAAGTTGAAATGTTAAAGCACTTTATATTTATTTTTGGGTGTAACTGTATTTTATTTTGAAGGCATGTTTAAATACAATTAAATTAAAAAATCTAAAATATGAACAGTCAAATCCTCCTCAGCTGGTCGCGGTGAAATTATCAAACGTTGACAGGTCCGCGGTGATAAAAAGGTTGGGGAACACTGATCTAATCAATCACTTCATTGGGAGACGAGGGCTCTATGTTTTGCCACCCTGAAAATGAAAAGCTTATTCTATAGAAAGTTTCAGTTCTAAGTGTAATAGGTTTTTTCCCTCACTTCAATAATTTGAGGCGCCTACTGCGTCTAGTTTTTAAACTTCACACAGATTATAAAATTAAACATTTAAGACGGTCACATGACCATACGCATACACTTAGTACAGTTTTCAGGGCTCTGTTTTTTTTTAACGACCAAGCCATTTTGTGATGTGTCACATAATTTTGACCCTAGTGAGACAGCGCCTGAGTTGGTTCCCTTCTCTCCAAACTTCTACGCCACAACTAACGAGAGGACTTTAAACCACGACCGATTTAATGTGCACCTTGAAGCGGTTGTTTAATCGGTTAATGCATACCGGTTATTTAATCGGTTGCCAGGATCGAACTCACAAGCTCTCAATCAGCGAAGTAAGCGACGACTTAACCGGCTGCCCCACCGGAGTCCTTTCAGGAAGGTGATTAAGGAACACCCTGCATGTACTTTAAATAAATTTACGCTTGTTTTGCCACTGACACTTATTTAGCACAAAACTTATTAAGGCATCTTCTTAGAATTGCCCCACCGGATACTTGATCCGGGAGTTCCCTTGTCTTCTGGTTTGGGTTCAAAATTACAAGGCTACGTAGTTGAATATTAGTAGTCGTAAATCCAAAAATTGGGTCGGCAGTTATAAAAGGTATTGATTTGAATTATTCTATATATCTAAATAATACAATATAGTAATTGTTCCCAAATACAATTTGTAAAACAATTTGCCTACCTCGTCACTTTATTTTAAAGTTAAAAATATCAATAATCGTTTTATAAAAAAGTAAAGATAAAACAATAATTCATTTATATAAAGTGGAATATGAAAATAGAGTTTTTGAAAGGAGGCTAAATAAAACGCAACCTTTCTATTTAGGAATTTGAATTCTTTTTAGAATGATTCCGTAAGAAAAGTTAATTTTTGAAATATATATCTGTTCTCATTCCCAAATGAGTAAGTAAGAAAACACACTTTGCCTCCATTTTAAAAGAATGATGTTTTTTCTATGCTCTATTTTCCTCCGTTCTTAAACATAGTATAGGGTTTGTTTTATTTTTTTCATTGGAATTACTGTAACGAATCAAGCTATATTAAAAAACAGTTCTTTTTCTATATAAAAAAAAGCACATTTATTTAAAAACCACACATAAATTAACGAAATTAAAGTACCTGTAACGGGTAATAGCCTGGCAAAAAATAATAGAAAAAACCGTAACGGGTCAGTATAAATCCCAAATTCAAAAACTATCTTCCCCAAAATCAACAACTCTCTGATGTTCCATAAAAATCTCTGCCTTTATTTTTAATTTATCTCTTTAAATGTTTCGCTTCTTTTTTTCGTGATTTTGTTAACCAGATATTTTTTAATATTTTTAGACTTTATAATACATTTGAAGGCTTGTGCGCTCAATTTAGGATTATAAACCTTTGTCAAATAGAAGGACGGATGGCACAATACAGAGAATGACACAGCACGAAGATGCACAGCGGGATTCGAACCAGCTGCCTCCAAGCTTTGCACAGTGTTTGGTGGGTGATACCGCTCGGCTAAGGAGGCTCCCATAGTATAGGGTTAAGATTTATTCCCTAAATTGAGAAATAAGCCGTCATAAATATATTTCATACTTCACATGGTAACTTGTTATAATTATATATGTCCGTCGTTAAACAGCCGACCCAGTTTTGGGTTTACGACTACTAATGTCCAACTCCGTAGCCTTGTAATTTTAAACCAATCCAGAAGACAAGGAAACTCCTGGATCACTACCCCCAGAGGTATTGATTTGTTATGGGAACATGGAGGACTTTGCGACTCGACAGATTTAACGTGCATCAGTCACCATTTACTAAGCGGGGAGTATTCGGCCGGCAGGGATCGAACCCAAGAACTCTCGGACATGGGTCCCCAGTGCCTTACCAACCAGGCTAACCCAGCCTACTTTCATTGGTTTGAGGTAAAAATTTCAAAAACTTCTGATAGATACTTTATATTTCTTTAGACAAGATTGAGCTTAATCAACTCCTCAACTTAATCATAATTCAGAATGACTTTTTACGCAGAACTAAAACAATTTAGAAATTATGTTTCATCCACTCTAGAGAGATCTCCCTCTTAAGATCCACTCCTTGTTTTCCGACCCCACATTGTGTTGTGAATGCTGATTTGTTAAGTTCCATCACTCCTTAAAAAAGTATACCATTACTTTTGTTACACCCAGAGAATAGTTTGTCTAAAGTAAGAACTCCTCCAGTCATTCGTCTGGACCCGTGGCAGTGACTTTGGTAACGAGGTTTAACTTTCTTTCCGACACCACATTGTTTTTGTGAAAGCCGTTTCGGTTAGTTCCGTCACCCCTTAAAAAGAATACCATTACTCTTAATACACCCAGACAATAGTTTGTCTAACGTAAGAACTCCCCCAGTCATTCGTCTGGATCCGTGGCGGTGACTATGGTAACGAGGTATAACTATTTCAATAAGAGTTTTGGCTCAGGTCGGTGAGAGAAAGGTAATCTTTTTCTCTGGTCTATTGTGCTAGCATTAAAATGAAGAGAAGCTACCCTCGCTGAAATGCGCTGTTCTTGTTTCCATAGCAGCAGACGGCCTCAAACTTTGTCGAGGGGGGAGTTCTTACAGTAGACAAACTACACATTTAAGGAAACGAACAAAAAATGGCTTATGTTATTTTTATAAATTTTATTGCAAAAAGAACTTTACGGACAGGACAACATACATGACAGTTTGGCATTCAAATTATACATTTAAAACGAACAAATATTTATTCTCTCAGTGAAGTCGTTTGTTAGGAACTCCGACAACGCACACCCTTGCTGACCATAGGGCATCAGCAAGTTTTTTACGAAAGTCTGGATCTGTGTTGTAGGAATGTTTGTAGCCCTTGCTGCAAATTCTCTCTTTTGTCGTCTTCAAGCAGTCAAAAAATGCCTGCAAAGAAAGAATTAATGACCCTCTGTACTAATATCATTGATGATCCAAATGAGTAAAATAATTAACTTAGACAAAATACAGTAATTTGACTTCAGAAGTCCTAAATATAACAAAATTAGATTAGTTATTTAAAAAAAAAATTTGACTGACTGATTTAAAAAAATTTGAATAAAATAATTCATAAGTGTTCCATTCGTAACACATACTTTGATACGATCCAACTATTGTACAATACAACTTAAAAAATTAACCTGAAATTTAAACAAAGTTAGACGAATTATTTATTTACGGACACGTAGTACGCAACTGCTAAAGAAAAGAAACAAACTAGTTTTTGCATGATAACTTTTCACTAAACTCAGATACACGGTGCTAAAAAAAATGTTCAAACTTGACGTAAAATAACTATGAAAGCAATAAACAAATTAACAGTATTTTGTTATCAGAATATTCTTTTATATCAAAATGAACATTTTCTTAGAAATATGCACAATTTAATACTGTTTCAATTAACAGTTTCTTTAGTTATAACAGGAGAAGCATGCTCAGTGAAAATTTTCTGGAAACAATTCTTTTTCTTTTTTAAACATTGGGAGATTTGGCAATATACTTGCTTATTCTTATTTTGCAAGGTAGGTTTTCTGTTGTTTTAGAATGGTTTTTTGCTTTTTTGATATTTTTTACACAAAATATATTCTCCTTAGATATTTAATTCACATTGTTTTATAAATAGAGTTACTTAATTGATGCCAAGTCAGTCTATTAACCAAAATAAAAATCTTGTAAGTTGTATTGACCTTTTCAATATTTATTTTCAAAAATTTGTAATTAGACGTGTTTAAGTTAATGTAACCATAGTTAATGTGTTTAAGTTAATGTAACCATAACCATACATTTTGAAAAACATTTATTAAACTAATTACTACGAAATATTAGTTTCATAAATACACCAAGATGGTAACAGGCATAGTGTAACAGGCAAACGAGATATGATGCACCGTAGGTAGCGTCAAACCCGTTACAACCTTCATCACTATCTTCAATCTTTTCTTTAATGAAGGCATCTTCTACAAGTATATCTACATCATATAGGTCTATAAGGGACTATATAAGACGTAGGCTTAATAGGATATAGGTTACATAGGATAAGATATAGGCTATATAGGACAGAATATAGGATAGTGTTAGGAACATGTTAATAGGAATTTCAGGCTGTTGATGGAACTGTTCTAAGAACTATTCTAAGAGTCCCTCATTTCATTTTTCAAATCACTCTTCATCCCAGGTGATACCTCTTTTCGTATCAGACTTTATGACTTATTTCGTGATTAACTGTAAAATATAAACAAATTTGTTTTAATAGTTCATGTTTCAAGCTTTAAATACTTATTTGCTTAATCCTTCCCCTCCCTTGCAAGGATGATTTTGACAAGGCTTTAGATCTAAAATTGCTCGAAATCATTTTTTGAAGAGCAATTTTTTTTTAATGATAGCGGGACAAAATTTTAATTTGCGCAATAACTAACTTTACTATAATTTATTGGTGCTAAAGTGCAGGAAAAAAAAAACTTTTCGCTATTAGGCTGAGAAGGTATTTTTTAGCCAGCGTAAATTACCATTTATCAAAAAAAAAAAATTTAAATAAATAAATCAACAGAAATGATTAGTTTTTCAGATATTTTAAATTTAAAATAGCGTCAAAAGAAAATTACAAAACTTAAACTGCTTTTAGACAATGTAATGTTAGAAATTCTGATACTTCGGCATTCTTGTCTAAGGAAGAAAAAAAAAGGACATGAATTTCAATAACGCATGTTTTACAACAAAGAAAAAGAAAAGAAAAATACTACTTACAGTTCTGACACCACAAATTGTCCTGTATGCAACAACGTCATCATTTATGTATGAAAGAATCTTATGCGCTCTCAGGAATGTTTGGCCACATTTATGTAAGGCAGCTATTTGGCACTCTTCTGAAAAACGCATAAACAATCACTAGATTAAAAAAATATATTACCATACAGTATATTGTAAAATATACCACCGAAAGTGATTTATTCTACAGAGAATAAAAATTATTAAAACTATATTAAAAAAAAGGACTAAAAAGGAGAATATAATTATTGGTTTTTATTTTTGTCAAAAACACGAACCTACTGCATATCACTTTCGAAAGTCGTGAAAGGAATTTTCAGTGGTTATAAAAGTTCATAACGAAAGTGACACTCCTTGCATTTTTCGTGTTAAGTTTGATAAAAATAAATTTATTTTTTCCTTTTTTGTCCCTTAGTCTCCTTTGTGTTATTTCAGACGCTGACTTCTAGATAAGTATTAAGGGCTCTAGCTAGTCGGAAAGTCATTGATATTTTGAATGCATGATTCCCCCTACATAGACACGAACGTAATAAAAATTATAGAAATTATAGACATTACGATTAAAAAAAAAAAGTAGTTTCCATTTTACAATTTTCAGTTAGCTGTACTGGAATGGTGGGTTTGAAATATCACAGCAAAGTTATCCTATTTCTCAAAAAACAATACTGCACGTTTTTTGTTGTTGTTGTTTTTTTTAATAATTATAAATTCGATATATGAAACGCGTGAATAGTTTTATTAAAAATTAGTATCCATGAAAATATTCAAAAACTTCCTTGTTTACCAATCTTGCTCTTCTAACCAAACTCCATCTAATCATTAACAAGGTAAGAATAATAATTGTAAAATAGATAGATAAGCTGTACAACGCACTGAAATGTCTTTATTTCAATCTTTATTTCTCATATAATCAAAAAGTTAGCAGGACATTTAAAAAAAAAAAGAAAAAACATTTGTTTAGTAGGCTAATTTTGGCGGGATATCTTACCAAAAATTTTTTTTTACTGCTTTCGATATTTTGATTTTTAATAAAACTAAATTTTGCTTCGTTTCAAATTTTAACTAAATCGGTCACGCGGGTAATTAACCTAGGGTGCCCAAGCAATTTCAGAAAAAGTGGTATATCAATGAAAATTTTAATTAGGCAATCTTCAATGAAAAGTCAGACCATATTTTATCTATACCATGCACTACTTCATCAAAAAAAAACTTTTGATTCTTTTATTTGAGCAAAACAAAATTATGTGAGCAGAACAAAATATATATATATATAATTGAATGAGGATGGGTAACATGCTAGTTTCACTAAAATGTAAAAAATAAGTGTAATAGAATAAATAATCATTAACTATCGAATTATTTAACTCTGATTACTGTTACTGACAACTCTAAAACTGTTTATTTTCCAGGAATGATATAGGAATTTTCCACCATTTTGTAAGAAAATGCAAATTTTCCCTGATTACTCCCTGATTTTTAGAGTCAAAATTAAATTCCCTGACAATTCCAGGTTTTCCCCTGACCCGTGGGATCCCATTGTATACTTATGATTAGAGTTTAAAAATACGTTTTCAAGAGAACTGTAGAAAAAAAATGAAAAAAAAGAGAAAACAATTCTATTTTTGTTACACCTAAAGCAAAAAAAAAAGCTGAATAACGGACACACACAAACTATCAAGAACTTTTTTCAAATAAAAGCAAACATATTTAATAAAAACTTTGCGTCAAAGGATTAAATGATGTAGTTATTAACTTACCACCTTCATCATTCTCTTCATCTGTTAGAAGATTGTGTATGTCTTTTAATTTAAAATATTTATAAAAATCACCAAAATCTTCTGACCTACAAAAAGAGAAGAAACAAAATTGTTTTTAGCGAATGTGTTATTCAGATTATTATGTACTCGAAAAAAATCTATACTGTAAGAAATTTTCAATCGCTTGAACCATTGCATCGTTCAAATTGACTGTAACTTCAATGCAGTACAAAAACAAGACTTTATCTTTTATTATTAGTATATTTTTATTTATTCCTTTTTTAAATTAATTAATTTATTTATTTATTTATTTATTTGCATTTGATTACGCGATACTGTGTCTCAATTTAATCTTAAATACGTTTCAATTTAACACCTTAATTTAAGACCCTTCAAAAATTAAGTAAGCAATTTATTTTTTATTTATTTTTTTATTTTTTGTCATCCGATCTCCCCGTATCATTAAAAATAAGCATGTTTCAAAACCCCACCCATGCTTATTACGCTTGACTATATATTGTCAAATTTTAAAGCTCATTGAAGAAATATTTTTCGTGCTTTTTTTTCCCCAAATTTACTTCTAATATTTCCAATTTAAAATTTTCTCAAAGGTATTTTCGTTCTTTTCTTTTTCGTGCATTAAAAAAAAAAATCGAAAGAAGGAGGATTTTAAGGCATTACGTAATTATTGCACCTATCCTTCTTTTTCCTTGTCAAGAAAACCACAAAGCCTCTAACTACTTTAAGTTCTTACGTAATATTTAAATAGACTCTTGCAGCTAATTGGCACGTATTATGTTTCCCAAATACCGATTTTTAGCTTCTTTTTTCTTTCCAGATCGTTTTGTTAGCTCGGATCACTTCGCTCATTTTCCATTAGGTAAAAAAAAATCTGGAAGAAAAAAAAGGAAATATAATCTATTTAATTACTTTCTAACCATTTTAGAATTTAAACTAAGTGAGATATCTTGCTTGATTTTAGGCGCATAAGTAAATAACTGTTGCCGAAAAATAAATAAATAAAAATCAGTTCTTTTGCTAATTATTTTCATTGAACAAAAATAGCCGGAAAGAAAAAAAACTAGTATTGACTTAAATAATACACAAACGAATGACCACGTGAATAATATTTTCACATTAGAATTTTGCGTAAAAATTTCTCTTAAAATATGCAAATTTTCATATTCTCTCCTCCAATAATTTTCGTGTTATGTGTGTAAGAAGTGCACTCAATTTTCTAAAACAGAGTAGTTTTATTTTATAACCATCGCAATTTTTTGGGTTTATGACTGCTGATGTTCAACTCCGTAGCCTTGCAACTTTGAACCCAATCCAGAACACAAGGGAACTCTTGGATCAAGTATTAGGAGAAATTTGCTTTCGTGGGGGACTTTTTGATAGAACTAACCCGCATTTGCGGTACATGGAGAGGAAAAACCCGAAAACCTCCCACGGTTAGACTGACGGCAAGGGGACTCTAACCCATGATCCGTCTGCCACTGAGGATATTTTGCGCCAGCACTGTGGTCGGCGCAAAAAGCAGAAACTAGGCAAAAACATTTCTTTAAGAGATATTTTAGTCAAAAATTGTTTTCATAAGTTCACACACATAAGATATCACGTGGTATACTCACTTGGCTAACTCGTTTTTGGCGGATTTGTTATGGTGAATCCTTCTTCCATATAAGGGCACAATCAAAAGCAAAAAGAAAATGGCCACACTCGGATAAGTGTAGCCTCGCAGCCTCATAATATCGCCAACCTTATCTGGGAAAGAAAAAAAATATATATTGTATAATTTTCGCTGAACTAAAACTTAAATATAAATTAAATTTAGTATATTTAGTATTAATTTAGCATAAATTTAGTAAACTTAGTTAAATTTAGTATTTAGTTAAATTAGGGTGTCTTTTATAACTACCCTTAATATTTAGAATTCTTGTAAAAAGTGAAGAGCATACATAGGGATCTCAAACTAATATTTAAGCGAGAAAATTAAACGCTTTAAAATTTTAACGCCTCACTACTGAGGAAAACTGGACTGAAAGCTTTCATTCAAAAGCTGTTTAATTGCCTGAGGAAACAAAGAAGAGTTTTAAGACAATTTAATCAGGCAATCAAACTGGTTTTGTCTTCCTTCAACTTTTTCAAAAAGGATTATAAAAAAAATTCCTCCGTAACTAAATTGCAGAAATTGCTTAGTATTCCAAATTCAAATAATTCTTTGCATTTTATTTTTTCAATTCCATGAATTTAAGATAATTTATTTATAAAAATTATTGTCATAGCTCTATTTTTTTATTGTTTGATACGAGTACAATGCTTTGCTAAAGAATGAATTTACAAAGCTCAAAAGAACTACAAAAACTGGATTCAGTATGAAGAAGAAAAAAATGACTTTAAGAAAATTTTTCTATACTAGTGCAAAATATGCGTGTTCAAATGTATCAGAAATGCATAAAGTGAAAAGTTCGTTTAGAAAATGTAGTACTTGTACAACAACTCAAGTGATATATTCATCACCAGCCTTTTTTTACTCTCTTAAAAAAAATCCTCTTAAAGAAAAGATGAAATATTTATTCCAGGGATCGTAATAAAATTTTGAAAAACGAATAAAAATGAAAGGTTTAGACATTTTTCAAGGAAAAACATAGCACACAATCACGAGGTATGTTTCAATTTTAAAAAACGCTACCTTTCGTTCAATATTCGTTTCGTTTTATCCAAATTGAAGAGAGGAACAAAAAGCTGTAAATATTTTTATACCAGATGTCTAAAACAGATGCTTATTAATTATAAAGATTAATAACATTTGCTATTTAGAATCTTAAAGGAACAAAATTTATTATTATTCCTTTTTACTAGTTTCCTCAATCCATTAAAAAAAAAGTATAAAGCCTTGGAAATTTTAGGATAATTTTTTAACTCCGCAAAGAGATTTCAGAATGAAAATTTCAAAAACAATCTCGAATTCAAAAATGGCGCATGAAGCAAGAAACAGAAAAGTGCAGAAACAAAAAAGAATTGTTTGATCATTAAAAAGCAATCAGAGAAAAAGGGTTACTAGTGGATGCGGAGGAGTTACTGCGGTTGAAAATTTCTGAGAAATGCTGTTTTAGATGACGCAATGCGTGACGTCATGGTGCCCCGCGGTCTGCCTATTTCATCCCTGCAGCCAACAGCCGCAGATGATCCAGAGGAAAACGGAGATGTGCTGGATCCAGCATCATCATCACCATCGTCTGAAAGGAGTTTCAGTTTTCGGAGAATTGCGTTCGATAACTTTCCATGTCATTGGAAGGTTGCAGTCAACTTGATTAATTCCAAAAAACCTGTTTGTGAGAGTTATAAATAAAGAAAACTGATTTCTTGTAATGTTGCGTTCAAATTTAAATGGTTTTTGAAGTACGTGTTCATAATAATGGTTGTTATTTAGATAATGAGAGATGCGAAAAGTGGGCTGGGAGTTCTTACTCGGATATCGTATGCAATCTGCTTATTGGTGCAAAAAAAAAGTCGATTGCGTTTTTTCTTGGAAGTATTTTTCGTCCGTTTTGGAATTACATCTTACAAAAACTATTGTTTTTTAAAGACTATTCAGCAATTTAGCGAATAGTGTTACAATACACAGCCATTTTCGAAAAGGTCTTAAAAAAGATGCTAACTTTCGGAAGCCTTAAATTTTATATCAATTGATAATGACATAAGTTTCCTTAAGTGTATTAAGAACAATATCAATTTGTCATAAAAATTAAACGATAAGTACAACAAATTATATATAATGCTTATAAAGCAAATGCGTACTATACATTTCATCTTCTCTAAAAAATTAAATTATAGCTTCTTAAAAAAATTTAAATACAGCTAGGGGGAAATGAATTAAAATTTTTTTATTGCATGTACCTTGCATGCATCTTTAATGTTTTAATAAATCTTTGGGCTGCATTCATTTTGAACAAGCTTTGTTTAAATAAAATTAAAAAACGAAACAACTTGAATTTACCTTAAATTTATACTTTTCAATATAATTTTACAAATTTCTTTTAAAAGTTAAAGAAATTAGTATAGAAAACAGTTATAAAAATACTCTAGTTACATGGATTTTTTCAATAAATTTTTGGCAGCAATGTAGGAGCTACTCATTGATTATTTGAAAACCGCATTTGTTCCCTTTGGCTCACGGTTGAGCACCACCCCTTATAAAAAGTATCCATTACATACAAAGCCCATTACATACATTACCCCTTATAAAAAGCACCCATTACATATCCATTACTTATTACATTACGTACAAATTATTTAAGACATTAGAAATAACATTCAAACATACAAAGCGAAAAAGTAAACAAAGATTCCTGTATAATGTATGAGCTAATTTGTCAACATGCATTGCGCAAAAAGATAAAACTTAACACCCTGAATAACTTTTGATCTAATGATTGGATTTTCACGTACTAGAGATCAGTTTTAATGGTCAAAGGGGGTGAACTGAAATATGCTAATTAACTAATGCAGATTTAATTTTACGATGAGAAATCAGAAGGAAAAAAAATGTACCTTCTCTAAAATGAATTTCTGACCCTCAAAATATAGGGGTTAGTAGCAATTCTGAAAATATGGTCCCAATAATTTGGTCAGGTTTAAGTTTTTCTAAGATATAGTTAGTCGAAAGTTTGCACCTCTTTATTTTAATTTTACTTTCGGCGTATTTTGCCACTTTTAAGCGAATACGGAACTTTACAGAACTTTTCAAGCGAATTGAAAAAATTTTGTACGCAATTATAAAAATAGCATATCCAAAGCATGCAAAAATATTTTTTTTAAATTATTTATTATTATATTAAATAATTGCTAAAGAAATTTTGAATAGCTAGGTATGCATATTTTTACATCAGATGAACGAAATCGGCGAATCTCGATAAAAAAGAATTTAAAAAAAGTCAAACATCAAAAATTCAATTTCGCAGGAACTATTCGACCAATTTTTTCCAAATTTTGCCTCATAAAAACACATTCTTTAAGATGATAAAAAGTTCTCGAGATATGGCGAAAAGGCTCCTCTCAGGGCGAAATACGTAAAAAGTGAAATTAACATAAAGGGATCTAAACTTCTGACCAAACTATTGGGACCATATTTACCAGATTGTGTGATTGTGTCAACCCTCTCTATTTTAGGGGTCAGGTATCATAATCCGTCGAAAAAAGGTAAGTTACTTCAGAAAATGTCTGATTTCGTAACTTGAAACACCCTCTGCACAAATTATCATTGAAGTTACTCTTCGAACCATAGAGATAGAGTCCCAGTACGTGAAAATCCGATCATTAAATTAAAAGTTATTCAAGGTGTTTCCTTTATATATTTATTTAAAATTATTATTATTATTATTTTACAGTTACTGTTGTCAGTTGAAGTTCTGAAACAAATTTGATGTGTCGAATTATTTAAGACAGAAAGTTTTGAAAATTAAATTCGATACAAATGATCTCATACGTACAACAAAGCAACCCTAATAAAGGTTTAATTCAAAATCACTTCAATTCAGAGTTTCAAGGTTGTAATGATTGAAATCAGTTGATTTAAATCACTAATTTAAAACAATATTTAAATCGCTAATTCAAATAAATAATGGCCGCTGTTTAAGTTGAAAAAATGAATTATTCAATTAAATTTAGCTTCCATAAAATTATTTAATTTAAATGATTATTGATTTCATGAAATAAATGGATGTTGTGAATTTGTATCCTTATATCCGAAATGATACATCGAAAACATTACAAATTGATCCTTTACGAGCAACAAATAATTATTTTATTTTTATTCATTACTAGTTAAAAATTCGAAACATGTTTTTAATGTGGTTAAATTCATGTGAATAAAGGTACTCAACTAAACAGAAAGGTTGTTACACCCAAAAACCACAGGATTGGTGTGATTTTGACATATGTCTTTGCAAAATAAAAAGCCGGTATTATCACCGTGATTAAGCTGCAATCAAGTAACCACAAAACAAGACACCATTTAGGTCAATAGTCGTACAAGATGGGGGTTTCCCTTTGCGGTTTGAGAAAAAAGGATTAGACTTTAGGTCTAACAACAAATATTTCAGAAATATAATTTAGCTACTATTATTTCATTATTTTTATTTAATTTTCTTTGATTGTAAGTATCAGGCACATTCGATGAAAAATTAAAATTGATTTTTGTTACTTTTCCAAATAATTATTTGTAATAAAGGAAGTTAAATTTATTCTTCTCAAAGTGTGATTTTTAAAGGTTAAAAAGTTCTCCATGTTAAAACATAATAATTATATAATTATAAAAAGAATTATTATAGTAGTAATATTTTACATTAATTTTACCTTTAAATGACTTGTTTAGTTGGTAGTTGGACAGGTAAATTTACACAAAGGTTGTTGACACAATTATTTTGTGAAAATTTATCAAAGTACTCTAATTTGAGCAAACAATAAGATAATAGTTTACTTTCACTTTAATGTTTTATTCATTTATTTATTTGTTTATTTAGTTATTTATACGAATAAAACGAAATGATTTTGGTGTGTGACTTTGACAAACCCTCTAGACTCATGGGTTTAATATAGCTGAGGCTATATTGAGATGACTTAGAAACAACAACATAAACGACATAAAAGGAATTATTTTGTTGATAAAAGGGTCATCATGAGTTTGAAGGAAATTACATATATTAACAAGATAGTGATACGCCTTGTCAGATTAAAATATGGTAATATAATTTTGAAACAAT